TCTGGATGGTTTTATATATCATATTTTACCACTGTCTCCCTGTATGGTCCATGGTCTCTCTCTCTCTCTCTGCACTCTGCCATATAGAACAACTTTAGGCCATGAGTATGGGGTCGATGAACTGTGTCTCCAGTGCTTAATTTGTGCCAGGGCTGAGCCCCGGCACCTCTAGGCTTGGCAGCTCATAGCCCCAGCACCTCTAGGCTTGCTGCATCAATTATGAATGTAAAATAATTGCTTGAGCCCCAGCAGCTCTTTCATTACAAATTAAGCATTGTCTCTCTCTCCCTCCAAGATTTGACCAAAAAAACCAAATATCTGATCACCAGTGGAACATCCAGATCTAAAGCTAAGGGCTGCAAAGGGCGAATGGATTTTCTGCTGGCTTATCTTGCTGGCAGGCGAACCCTGGCAGGGCACCCGTTCTTATACCACCTTCATAACCATAGTGTCCGAGCACCTCCCAAAAGTGCATTATGGAAAGAGACCAGCACTTGTCATTTTCTAGAAAAATTCTGTGAGGGTTTTATTGATTTCTTTTATGTCAGCCCCACTATGTGCTTTTATTATTGACAGCAAGGTCAAAGCAGTGCCTTGCACTTGGAATGGGAAGTGGTGAGGTCTGCTCCTGTGGAAGTTGGCTCTGCAGCCTTGCACTGGCCCCTGAGAAAAGCTCTGTCTTCTGCAAAGACTAGCTTCACACCTGCAGCGATTATGAATGAGGAATGGAGGTATTGACCAATCGCTATCCTGAAGCTTCAGGCAATCTTTGAGAAAGGGGACAATTAGGGTTACTCACATCTAGGAAGGCACAGGTGGAGGCTTTGGTTTTGCTGTCCAAGAAGCACTTGAGGCTTTTTGAATTTCCTCTGTCCCGTCCCACTATGGGAAGTTGATGAAGTAGCTTTCAAATCTGAGGGATGGATTTAAATTTCTCATCTTGTACTCCAACCCATTTTGGCAACAGGATGCATACCTGTACTCAGCTCCTAATCCTGACATCACTTCAAACAACATCAGACAAGTTTAACATGTCTGTTAGTATTATCAGCAGTGAAACTTTAAAGTTTACACTTTTCACACAGCTATTGTTTCAAGTTGTCTGCAGACTCAACTGAACAGCATTGCATCATTTATATTTATTTACTTTGCAATTATTGCATCTTGAGTCTTAAAATTGTTTTAAAATGAAGCACAGACTCTTAACCACAACTCTGTGGAACTTTAAAAGTGAACTTCAATTATGTAGCAATTTTACAGGGCTACATGATTATATTATACATATGCTAATGAATGAACCAGTCTGGTTTTTCTCTCTCACACACACAAACATGCTAAATGAAAAGGAGAAAGCAAACAAATAGTAAGTAAAACAGTGGCAAGTAAATTAGACAGTTGAAGTTCTTACCATTTCAATAAAGCATTCACATAGGTCCACAATCAGGCAATTTTTAATCTAGCCGTCTCCCTTTAAATTCTCTCACTTTCTGGACAATAAGAATAACTCCAAGAAAAGGCTTTGCTTATGAATCTTGAGCTCTATGGTGTCAGAAGTCAAGAATTGTCTGACACCCAGAATGAATGCAAAAATCAAGAGGAACAGAGGATTTGCCCACTCACAGGGTCAAAGTATCATCTGTTTCATTCTCTTCATCCACAGAATTAAAAAAATCCTTCGAATACTGATTTTTAAACACTACTAAACGTAAGTTCTTCCAACTGTTCAAGATTTAATATGATACTATTATTATGAATCTAGGACCATATCTGAATGCTGATAGCTTTGATGGAAGCCATCCTCCAGCACTAGGTACAGTACATCTTTCTTTTCATGCCAGAATGTTACTAATCCTCATAGAACAGACGGTATTTACATAAAATGTGAGGAAACAACTTTTATCAACTGTATGCTTCCTATTAAATCAGCCATAATTTCTAATCCTCTGGCTACTGAACATTTCTAACAACAAAAGGCACCTGATAACACTGTCTGCTGCTTTTGTTTACTTTACTGACTAATATCAATCAAACGAAAGACTTTGACCAAATCCACTGGGATAAGAAACACTTTTTATGCAATAAATATTTTATTTATCTCAAAGTTTTCCATGCATAAATAGTTTTGACAGGATTGCTTTGTGTGCAAGTAACTGCATGATATTCAGAGCTTCTATTACTCAACTGTCAAATACATCAATTGATTTATTTTCCATTTTTAGAAATTCCATAGCAGCTAATATACCTAGTATGGAAAAAAAAACCCAAACACATAATGATGTAATTTTTCCACAAAGAGAATGAAACAGCCAAGAACATCCAAGTAATGTCTGGATCAGTCACACACATGTACTGTGAGGTAATGTATTAGCCAATATTCTTCACAGTACAGTAAAATTCATTCTGAAGGTTTAATCAAGTCTTGATCACAAAACTGGCAGGAGGAAAGATGGCTTGTTTTTAAGATCTGGGCGCAAACACAGTAAATGTCAAGAGCTAATAGGCTTGGCCTGAATGAGGCCCAATGCAGTCAGGTGCTGTATAAGTTTCTCCATACAGCTCTGCCAAAACAATTTAACTCTGACCTATAATACCCTGAAACACTGGAGGAGACTGTCACTTGTACTGAATTTGAATTATGCCATGTTACGTGATATGAACAAATGAGGGAGAAGATGACCAAATTCCTTCACTTCTGACCAAAGCCAGGATTAACCCACTAAATCAGTTAACTCCAAGATGCAAGTCTCCTACTTAAAAGGACTGTAAAGCAGGATTGATGCTCTCCTTGCTAAGGAAAAAACTGTTTGTTGAGTTGTAAGTATGGCCATCTCATTAGGTATGCATAATCAGAGCAGAAGTTCCCTACACCTCAACACAGTGATGTTGCCTTTAACTTTTTTCAACTTGGCTGGTGCAACGGAAGACATGCCTAGCTTCATCTCCGAAAATTATAGCACCAATTTTCAGTCTCAAACAGCAACAATATCAGTTCTCATAGGAGAAATTCTACCTTCCAAGACCAAAGTTTAGACTCTTGCTCTTACGTACTGCCATTGAAGAAAAACTGAAAGGAGAGTGAGGTTTTTAAAAATAGATTAATACATGAAAGAAATATTTGTTTTAGAGACACAAGTGTATTAAATAATTAAACATCACTTTGAAAAAAAAATCAGGAAAAAAGGGAATGGAAGCCACTTCCTAGCCTCATCTAAATCCAAATGAAGAGCAGCCAATTAGCCAGTCTTTCAAGTCCACTATCTGTGCCTGACACATTACAAAAAAATCAACATAGAAAAGCTTTGAATATCAAAGCCTGACAGTTCTATTAATGTAGTTGAAAAAATTCAAATGCAAAGAAAAACTATGCATGAAAATAAAAAAATGTGATTCAAAACTGTACATTCTGTACATTTTGCATGAATCGGATATTACTCAAACAATGAAGAATACAGCATGATCTCCCCATTCTAAGGTCTGGTGCTTTATTTGATAATTGAGAGCTACATAAGGAATTTAAGAAAACTCCTCTGAACATTTTTGGCATTTGGGATAATATTTTTCCATTTTGTGGAAAAGCAGGTTGTCATATCAGCAAGTGTCCCTACATCTCCTCCAATGAACAAAACTCTCTCAAAACAGAGACTGACATCCTGGATTAGCCAAAAAAAAGACTACTTTGGATAACTGTTAAAGGAGTTAACATTTTCACTGCCACTAAACTCCAGCATCACTGACCACACACAGAGAACTTATCACAAAAAATTAACAACAACTGGCACTGCTGGATTATTAGGCCCAATTCTGATCATACACCATGAGGTTTTATGTTGGAGTAACCCCATTGACTTCTATGGATTATTCCTCATTTACACCAGGGTAAGCAAGAGAATAAGACTCACTATTCCTCAACATCTATAATGTGAGTTTCTCTATGTAGCCAAACACATATTACTTCATTCCTGTGGTAAGGACCAACAAAAAAGTTACAGTACCGTAAATAACTAACCTGTGTATTTAGGGATATTTGATGTAATAATGGAGGATTTCATCAGTCAAGTTAAGTAGTTACACATTTCACAACTACTATGTGACTTTAAGGCATTCTGAAGTAAAAAAGACATTTTTCATATAAGTCTGTGGGAGCGGTGCCTGCCTGTAGTTTCTGTTCTCTGACAGAGTATTTAACCAATACTGGTTTGAAAGTATTAAGTAACGCCAAAGACTTTGTACATTCCTTGTAAATAAACAAGATTGCATCACAGAAAATACCAGACTCCATCAATTTCAAATTCCAGGTCTAACAATTGGCAGGGCCCCAAACTTTGACTAGCCACTCAGGTCAAAAGAGGCAACAATATTTTAGAAGCCAAATTCGAACAGAATGTGAAAAATACTCTAATCACAACATAAAAAAGTAACACTGAATACTTAATTTCTTAATAAATAACCATCCCATCGGAAGAAGATATCGTCAGTTGCAGGTACAGAAGAATGGAGAGAAAGTAGATCCAATTTATATGCATGGGAAAGCAGGAAATTATAGCTTTGTATAGTAAATTCCATTTTAATAAAAAGTTAATGTGACATATAAGAGCCTGATCCTAATGAGAAGACTCTTGTTGACTTTAATGGGCGTTAGATCATGCCCGAATAAAGCAGAATTACAAATTTAGGTCCTGATCCTGCACATATGTATGCAAACTGTTCCACTGAGTTCACGAGTTTGCAGGATGGAAGCCACAATGACCATAAAGTTCCCCTAACTTTCCCATACATTCCAAAGAGAACTGCATTCTTGCAGTTGTGTTCTACGTCATGAGCCTGAACTATCAGTAAAATGGCATCATGCACCCAGAGACCATTCACAGTTAGAGACAGCTAATTAGAAACAGGTATTCCTAAGAATCACTGCGTGAATGCGTGTAACTATATGCAGTACTCTTAGGTATTTATCACTACAATGATTATTCACATTTTATTTAGTCTGATCAAAAGCTTACCTGTGCCCAAGATGATAAACCACTGTAGTTATTCCATGGGCATAATGGCTGCTGAAGTTGAAACTATGACTCTCTTGGAAACTTTGGTTTGTTCCAACACTAGACCAGGAAAAATGAATACAGTTTACATTTTATAGGGAAAAAAAGGTTCTTTAAGTTTGTTCTGAAATGTACCACAAGCATCCGAGTTTATTTTTACCTTACAAGGTAACTTTTCAGTTCTCCACGATAATTGATGACTAGCAGTTCAGCTGACCATTGGGCACTTGCTTTATATTCTAGAAAGATCAATCCAGCAATTGCGTAGCTCAAATCTCCTGGAAAACTGGTTGCCTTTTACCAAACAACCCAAAAAAAGACAGACATTTATAGGTAAAACACAAGAAAGCGGCTAAGCTGAACTAACAGAAATAATTTATATATTGCATTAGTTCCAGAGGAAAATGCATTTGCCCTTCACAATACTAAGGAAAAAGCAGTCATGATAACACAGAACATAAGATGCTTAGACAATATATTGAAGGAAAGTGATTAAAAGATACCCAAAAATGTTAGCTCATAATAACTTGTCCTTCAGGCTGTGAAAGATTTATTGATTTTAATTCTGAAATTATTAGCTTGCTGCAAACAGCATTACGTTTCCTCAAATAAAAGACCACTTTGTTGAAATCCCTGTAGCAGCAATGCCAACTTTGAATTGTGATCAAATCAGAATATAAGCTGCACAGTTTCAGACCTGATCAGTACTTTCATGAGGGGAAAAAAAAAAAAAAAAGGAAGTTCAGATGCTATTGTGGTTAGCGGTGCTGGCAGTGTTCCCTAAGGGTACGTCTTCACTACCCGCCGGATCGGCGGGTAGTAATCGATCTATCGGGGATCGATTTATCGCGTCTGGTCTAGACGACTCCAGAACTCCACCAGGGCGAGAGGCGGAAGCGGAGTCGACGGGGGAGCCATGGCCATCGATCCCGCGCCATGAGGACGTGAGGTAAGTTGATCTAAGCTACATCGACTTCAGCTATGCTATTCTCATAGCTGAAGTTGCTTATCTTAGATCAATCGCCCCCCCTTGCGTAGACCAGCCCTTAGAGCAGTGATACTCAGACCTCAGTGGTTCAGGAGCCAAATTAGTGATCAACATTACCCAAAAGAGCCACAGCAGTGTGAATTCATTGCTTCGTTTATATACATGTATACAAATAATACACACACACACATTATTCTCACAGCAAAATGATTGGTTAATAATTAAATCACACTGTGTTTTAATATCACGTGCTGCAAAGAGCTGCAGGAGAGACATTAGAGAGCACTTGCGGCTCACAAGCTCAGTCTGAGTATCATTGCCTCAGAGTCTGATGCCCCAGTAAAGTGTTAGAGGCCACCAAAAGCTGTTGGATCTGCCATATTTTTGGATGAGAGTCAAGATAAAGTTCCCGTCAACTGTGTTCTTTAAATATCCATTGGTACTTCCAGCGAAAATAGTGAGCAGGAAAATGTACTTGTTCATTTAACACTTATAGCTCAATTGTATTTAGTCATGATAAATACTTCATACTATACTACTAAACACTAAGAGCACATTTGTAAAATTAACAGTCTTTGTAGTGTAAATCCTTGCACTAGAATATACTGTTATTAAACTTCTACAGAGGAGTGAGTAGAAGCAGTCATTTGTGTGCATACAAGTTACACAGGGTTCCACTGTATGAAACTTTATTTAATAAAGAGGGTAAATACCGGAGAAATGACAAAGAGCTCACTGCCCATCAGGTCAAATACTCTCACAGTTCCAGTGCTTTCAGCATAGGCAAGCAGTGTGCAGTCATGACTCCATGCCACTCGTCTCCACTGTGTGTTAGGATCTCTCGGCACTACAGAGAAGGAAGACATAAGATGACATAAAAATAATATGGCCATGGTTTCATTATAAAACTGTACTTAACTGTTTTCATCGATCAACTTTTTGAGTCTTAATTAGGATAATACAGAGTTTTGTTGGATCATGTAAATGAATCTTACTGTGACTCATTCACAGTAGTGGAAAACCTTGAGACTAGGAGTCTTAATTTCCTAACTTTTGTACTATAAAAATGTCATTCTTAACACAGCATCAATGTACTGCTTGCATATGTGGGAATCTTTTTAACGGCTTAAAAATAGAGTGGTGTAAAAAAATGGAAGAGATATAACAGAAACTCTGCCTCAAATTTCCTTATTACACAGACAGATAATAATTTTGTAGATAGGTGCTACATAAAGTGTATTCTCTAAAGACCATAAAGAGTTCAATCATCGCACTGTGCACTTATTATTGTCTAGCAACAATAACTGATCATCTTACCACCTGAAAATAAGCATCCACTGGGATCAATGAGCAAAGAGAAGATGACAGCCTATCCCAGGCAGCCTATCCCATTATCTAACAGACAGAAAATTAAGACTAGCAGAAGGAAAAAGAGAGACTAACTTGTTTGGTACATACAGTATAAGCCAAATATAGCCCTTTTCATTTCCAGCACTATAGTATTACCCTATTGAAAATTACTGTAATAAGTTTTTTGGAAGCTTACTGTAATTCTACTTTACAACCACTATTGCATCTGTCCTACCATCATACTGCATTGATATGGCTGTTTTAAAGGAAGAGCTCCCTTCCTCAGACATAAAAGATGTCACATTTGAAGGAGTCATTTAAACACAATGGGTAACCTTTCCAAAAGCACCTTAATCTCAGTTTCAAAATGATTTAGGAGCCTAAGTCTCACTGAAAGTCAATGAGATTTATGGCCCGTAAGTGCTTTTGAAATTTTCCCCAAGCATGGCAGGAGGTAGCCAGATTAATAGGATAGAGAAGGCAAAGGTACCATAACTCTGTATTAGAGTTATGGTACCTTTAAAAAAAAATAAAAATGAAGTACTCCCTTCAGCTCCTATCACAAACATTTATTTGATCTTTAACTGAGCTTTGGTGGAGGACAGCTGAACCACTGTGCAGTCACACTATAACAAAAATACTTTTGTACACATCAATGTTTGTAGTCCATCTACTTTTTTGATATTCAATACTTTACTTCTGCCTCAAAATGCCCCCTTAACTCTACCCTCTCCACATCAGAGATTCAGGCTCAGTATCCTAGTTAGGGTGGAGGGAAGGAAAAAGTGGAGAAAACACAGTCTGTCAAACTGTATCAATGTTATTAAAAGGTATTTCCTTAAAAGAACATATGAATAATCTTTTAAACCCAATAAGCAATAATACTGCTTAAGAAACCTCCTTGACATAAAAAAGTTTTGCATACCTTGACATTTTCCAACAATGGATCCAAAGTCATCTTTTGCAGACCTGTAAATCATGAACACATGTAATTAACTGAATTTTGATGAAGAAAACTGACAATTACTGCAGCATTTATAAAATAATTAGAAAATACTGAAAGTGCATAATTTGAGAATTAGCACGTAGTTAATTCTGATTTGTATTAAGACATTTGATTCCATCCTCAGACAGCCAAGGTGGTTTAAAACATAGTTTAGGATCTCTCTCTTTCCGTGGACAAAACTGCTCAAAAGAGTCAGAGGCATCCATTCCACCAGATTATATTAGCACCTGACAAACTAGGCAGGTAAATGTGGGATCTACACAAACTCAGTATCCTTTAAGGTTAGTATTTCAGAAACAATGTAAAAAATCTGCCAGTTACAGCCACACAGTAAAAATGCAAACTTCAACCTTACATTCTAGAAGTTTGACATTTGTGATGTTTTTGTCTATTTTCATCAAAACAGTTTTCATACATTTTCTTCTTTTACATATAAATAGCAGGTTTGATCTTCCAGCAAATGGATTTTTGTGAAACAAGCAAATACACTCAGTCAAGACTTGTTCTGCAGATAAGTGTGTGGTGGTTGCTTTTGAACTTGCAAATGAAGGTGGGTCAGTTGTCAATTGTGGGGGAGAGGAAAGTAAAATTCTCTACATCATTTTACTCAAATCAGTATTATTTGTATAGCACCATAAGTGTTCAAGGCACTTTACAGCTAAGTAAAATGACAGCTCCTTGCCACAATCCAGTGAGATTCCAAACACCTCCTCTTCCTTCCCCAATGTGACTTCAGTGAGAGATGAGGGCACTCAGCACCTCAGAAGGTAAAAGCCAGAGATTACTTAACAGAGCAAGAAATGAAATACAAAGGAGAAAGGGAGACGCAAAGGAGGACAAAAGCAATGAAAGATCATGAAATGTGCTTAGTGAAGTTCATCCATCTTGTTTATGCCTCTATGTGTCTTCATTTTTTAAAATGTAGTTTGTGTGTTTATGGGCAGTGTCAGGAATAAAGCAAAGGGTGTAAAGCTGCTGCTTTTAAAGTTAATAGGTTCTAAGACCATTTCACAAATTATGATGCCTTAAAATACAAAAATTTAACTTTACCTTTAAAAATATAGCTTATAAATCCCTAACTCCATTTTCTCAAGATACTCCATAAAATTGGTAGTGAAATGATAGATAATACTGAGTTACCTGATCTCTACACATTGGTCCTGAACAACTGCCAACAGTTTACCATTACTGAAAGGAGGGAAAAAAAGCATTTCACGTTAAAATTCAATTACAATAAAAAGTTGCTTTTGTAAAACATGGGTCACACAATTAGGTATCACTTTACAAACTCATATTTAAATTCTGTCTTACATTCCAAGTGAAAATAATTGGGTCATGATAATTATTAGAAGATACCGGTCCCCATTATGTAAATTAGCACAGTTAATAGATTCCATATGTCACTGGCTGCATCATATAACTCAGTACTATTAATATCTCACTTTTTATTAGCACTATTAAAAAAATCTAAAATGGTTGATCCAAAGGAGGTCAGAGTCAAACACTGCTGAAGGATAATTTTAAAGCCAGAAATATTTGTAATTATGCCTAAGACAAGAGTTAATCAAATATCATGTTTCAGGGTGTCAGCTGATCACTACTGGGGTGAGGAAGGAAATTCCCATCCTGCCTCAAAATATACAGCATTGCACAATTGAGGGAAGGGGTCCTCCCTTCTTCTGAAGCATCAGGCATAGACCATTGCCTTCAGTCAGATACCAGACTTGCTGGACCTTTGTTCAAACCCAATATGACACATACGATGTTTGAGAGCCACAGTAAAACACCCTGAGTAAAGCTATTACAAACTAATATCAGGTCGTGCAATTCTCCTATGTATACATTTTCCATTTCTTAGAAAAAAATCATTTATTTTATTTAACTATTGCAAAACAGCTATTTTCAGTCCCAGAATTTTTCCACACATTAAAGGCCAGACTTAGAAAGTGCTGAGCAACTCCTGGAAACCACATTATACTCACCTCCCACTAACTTTAATGGAACTTGATGACATAGCTCCTTGCAGGTTCTAGGACTTTAGTAAAGCAAACCCTGACAAGTCATCCAGTAGATTCTCAGCCAAAGATTTATCCTACTCACCATCTTTACTTGCAGATTGAGCTCGCATTCAGGGGTGAGCAGGAGAAGGAGGATGGAAGCTTGCAAGCAGTTCCATACACAGCAGATATGATGGGTAAAACTAAATGACCTGGTTCAGACAACACTGCCAAACCACTAGCTTCAGGGACGGGGAGGCCACCAAAGTTAAACCCATGACCAAATCTGGACCCATAGTTTATTTTCTCCTTCTTCTGCCCATGTCTCTCTGATAATGCTAAATTATTGCTGTCTAAATAGAATTTTTATATGCTTGCTCAACCAACTTAACTGTTATTACAAAAATTACTAGAAAGAGTGAGCTTGCCTTTTTTCCTCCCATAAATGAATATAAAACAACGTGTGTGTTAACAAAGAACACAGAAAGAAAAATGATACTCCTCTTACCTTGAAAGCACTAGATGCCAGTTGATCTGCTTACTAACCAGACGAACAAGCCCAGCAGGGAGGGAAAACTTTGCAGGACTGAAATTACAAGTAAAAAATCAAAAACTTAGAATCTGACTAAATGACAGACTAAATATTGAATTGAATCTAAATAATGAAACTTACAGTCTAAGATTGTCATTTATGTATGCTATATCCTGCTAGAGACCTTCCTAGAACATTTGATTTTAAACAATTATACTGATTCACAAATTAAGATTAGCAATGTGACAGTTCAGTGGAAACAGTGGCTCCTCCAATTCAGGAGTCTTCCTTGTATATTTTCCTTTATTTCTTGAAAGAAAACTTAAGTTTACATTTTTATTTTGTCCATTATAGTATGAGTTTATCGGAACAATTTTTACTGTGTGTTTTGTGAGACATGCATTGTATTCCGTCCCTTCTATCCCTATGCCAATCCCAATTACTTCTTGGAAAAGTTGTTATTTTAGACTTCTGACAAAACTAGATCACAATTTTCAAGTGGATACATGTAATCCTTAAAAAAGTGACAAGTTACTTTTCTGCTGGAATACTGTAAAATTCAGAGCAAGTTACACTAGCATGAACTGATTCTGAATATAATTGTGTTTGTTTCAAGTTCTGTATCAAAAACAAAAATGCTTTGCACTTTTAGATGGCTACGTTTGTCATCAAATGATTTCTAAGCAGCATACATAAGTATAACCCCATTTAACAGATGAGAAAACTAAGGTGTTAAGAGGCTGTCTGACCTCAAGCAAATCACTTTACAAGTCAGTAGCATAGTCCACAATCATGTCTAGGGCCCTACCAAGCACTTCAGGAAGGAGAATGACATAAGAGAATTTCTAATGACTTGGGAATGCTCACTGCAGGTAAACATCGTAAGATGCATATTAAGAATGGAGAAAAGTAGTGAGTCTGAACTCAGCACTCTAGATGCTGCAGAACTGAGTAGCGAGGGAGCAGGACCAAGGAAATATACAGTTTACAAGCTCAACCAAAACCTGAATACGTCTAGTACAGTGTTTCTCAAATGCGGGCATGCAGCCACCAGGGGCTTTTCTTACGGCTACAGCCTCCTGGGCTGTGGTGAGGCAGGAGGACCCACTCCCTGCCCCTCCCTGGTCCTCCTGGATGAACAGCCTTGGTGTTGGTTGCTGGGGCTTCCAGCAAGGGTTGGACAGCTGGTGAAGTCCCCATCTTCCCAGGGGAGGTGGAGCTCAGAATTTGGGCTTCAGTCCATGGGTGGTGGGGGGGCTCTGGCCACCGGGCTTCAGGTTCCAATCCCCGCTGCGTTCTCCGGCCAACATCCTGCCCCCCATTGCCCCGGCCCCTGATTCATCCCCCGATCCTCTATCTAAGGCTTAATTTGTCCCCAGACTTCCTGGGGCTGAGTAAGTCTGCTGTGAAAAGTGATACCTGTATGTTGGTTAATATCACTTTTCACAGCAGATTTACTAGCGAGCAGCAAATAAATTACAATGATTTGTACATGTATATGTGCATATGTATCTGTTTTTCCTAGAGCTAATTAAGTATTTTAGGAAAAAATGTGAGATCGGCCACCAGCAAGAGTTGGTAGCTGCACTCCAAGGCCACCTACCTGTACCAGATATACTGAAGCAAAAATAATGCAGGACCTATGAAAAGAGAAAAGAAATAAATTGAGACAGTTGCTTCAACAGTTAAAAAAAAAAAAAAAATCAGTCCTCAAATTACAGCGGAAAATAAAAAGAACTGGGTGTGACAAATCGGGCAATCTCCTACAATATCCTGGATAAACCTTACTGAATTATGTTTAATACCATTGGGGTCCATTTATTAAAAATGCAATTGTTAATGGGTTATTGAGGGATTGTATGTATTTCCATGGAAAAGGTAAAAATACAGCGCCTCCAGGAAGTGAGAACAGAGGAGGGTGATCAGTCAAAGTCACTCCGGTTGTAATATCTCCAGTTACCACTGCCTGGAAAGATTCACATAAACTAATCCAAACTGGATTATCCAGGGATCAACAGACAAAGAAAGGATTTTTGGACAAATAAACTGACTCATGGCATTCTTCCTGATTCAGTAAATGGACAGGACCTCTGGTCCACGAAGGCCTCAATCCTTAGGGAGGGGTTGGAAGAACTTTGGCCTACTGAGACTCCCTAAGACTGTGTTTTTGTTCTGAGCAAAGGATGTTACAAACTTGAAACCATAGGAAGAGCCCTGTGTGGGGTATGACGGACTGCTCATCAGCCAGAACCCATGTTGGAGTTGGGGGTGATCGCTGGTAAATTTATTAGCACATGTGTAGGTTCTTTTATTGTTTGTAACATGTTTTCTCTGTATTGCTTTTGCCTTAAGAGTAAAACATGCTTGCTTAAGAAGATCTGTGTAGTAGATTAACGGTGGTAAACACATCTCTCTCAAGAAAAGGCAAAAAAGCCTACTTAAGCAACCTGTCTTTTGATGGGGCGGTCACAGTTTAGGCAGGGAACTGTTCAGCCTGGAACTACCCCAGTCAGAAGGGAGAGAGGCAACAGTCGAGGAGTCAGAAGCCTGGATGGATGCACTTGCTTAATCATAGAAGGGGAATACAGGTGCAGTTGCCCTGAATTGTGACACTGGGAACTCTCAGAAAAAGTATTTTTGGCATAAAAACGAATATTCTTCGTATTTCTACTTGACCACTGAAACTCAAATTTTATGAAATAAGTAAATTCAGAGTTCAAACCCCATAAACTTTTGAAAATTCAATGAAAAGTATCTGGGGGGGTGAAAATTACTAACATGCATACATCAATCATAGTAATAGCAGCATGCCATGATTTTAAAAACCATTCTGTAGAAGCGTTCAGAAACCCTAACTAAAAACATTAGGTCTGACAAAGACACATGCCAAAAGCTCAAGATCATTCTGCAGTAATACAGATGCTTGTCACATGCATGTTTTATTAGTGTGCCCCAATGGGGTACTATCTAGCCCAGGGGTTCTCAAAGTGGGGGCCTGGACTCCTAAGGGCGTCATGAGGTTATTACCGAGCTGAGCTGTCAGCATCCACCCCCAAACCCTGCTTTGCCTCCAGCATTTATAATGGTGTTAAATATAGAGAAAAAGTGTTTTTAATTTATAAGGGGGGGTTGCACTCAGAGGCTTGCTGTGTGAAAGGGGTCACCAGTACAAAAGTCTGAGAACCCCTGATCTAGCCAGAACAAACTCACAACTAAGAAGATACAAAAGGGGAAAACTATAAAAATCTGTTCCCAGATTGATACATAGTATACGTTCCATTATACTAGCCCAGTGGTTCTCAAACTTTTGTACTGGTGACTCCTATCACATAGCAAGCCTCTGAGTGTGACACACACACCCCTTATAAATGAAACCCACTTTTTTAATATATTTAACACCATTATAAATGCTGGAGGCAAAGCGGGGCTTGGGGTGGAGGCTGACAGCTCGCAACCCCCCATGTAATAAACTCGTGACCCCCTAAGCGGTACCGATCCCCACTTTGAGAACCCCTGTACTAGCCCCATCACAATACCAGGCATAGCAAAGCCTGTAAGCAGAACCCATACACAGATCATTTAAGCCATGAATATAAAACCAGTCAACAATCCTTCAATGAAAATAAGTCATATTTACCTGTAATTGCTCTAGTGATGATAAAGGATGCACCATGTTTTTTGTTGCCTCTTGGCTGTAATTACAACAATACATTCATCATGCAACATCTGAACAATCCAATATTCATGTACATACTCCGTGAATAATGCACTTGATAAACCCTCTGCTCCTCTAAAAACTTCTCATTTAATTTTGAGTATTCCCAATTCCATATGAAATTGCATAAGCTAAGAGACTGTATAACTGAACATTCAGTATGTGCCAAATTGTAATAAAAACAGAACATTATTATAGGATACAATTGTTCAATGTGCTATTATTGGTGCACTACATTCTGATTGTGCATAAGAAAAAGTCTCTGGCTCAAAATTCTTATTATGTGAAAGAGCAAGAACTTTTATAGCAATAGGTCCCTTTCTATATGTATTTCTGCCAAGTAAAACACCTATTTAGAGACTATTTTCTCTCCCCATTACCCTTCTTCCACCTTTCCTTCTCTCACATAATCTCACTAATACTCTACTTCTGTAGCAATGCCACCACACCCCATTTTGCATCCATTGCATGGCACACAGAGAACTCATGGTTTCTACCTCATGCAGAAAGGAGCAGTGCAGGAGAGCTACATAGCAAGAGGAGGAAGCAATATAATCAGCCAGGACAAAAGGGAAAGCATTACAGGAGAGAACCAAGAAAGGAAAAAGTAAACACAACCAAAAGGGAGATCCAAAGAGAGGGGAGAGATAACAGAACTTGGGATAAGTGCTCTTGCCTACAAAAAGAGGATGAGAGTACTTCTCAAAGAAAAAGAAAAGGAAGGAGGAAGAGATTTAAACCAGAAATGAAAAGGAGTAAGAGAACAGAGGGACAACACAAATTAAGAGGAAAGGAAGACATCACAAGCAGAGCTTAAAGCAGTGGTTTTCAACCTGTGTCCTACAGACCCCTGGGAATCTGCATATTATGTCTAAGATTTCAAAGGAACCCACACCTCCATTTAAAGTTTTTTAGGGGCCTGCAAATTAAAAAGAGGTTGAAAGCCACTGGCTTAAAGTCAATAAATATCCATTCACATATGGATGTTGTTCGCTAGTCAAAATCTCACAGCACCACAAATTGAAGGAGAGTGAAGGAAGGAAGTACAACTACTCTTAGATCAACGATTAGGTTAATGGAGCAGATGGTTTTACGACAATCATGCCAGTGACAAAGGTTGGAATATTTAAAAATAAAAATAAAAATTCCTAAGGCTATGATTTTCAAAAATGAATGCCCAAAGTTAGGTTTCCGAATCCATATTTTGAAGTCAATGGGAACTGTGGGATATTCAGCACTTCTGAAAAATCAGGCCACTTGTTACGTGTCTAAATGCATGCATATTCAGACACCTAAGTTCTAGGCTCCCGATTTGAAAATCTTGGCCTAAGGTATAGTTTCTTTTTATTTAAAGTTTGCAAAGCTTTTTAAAGAAATACCTTTCACAGTGTCAACAACTCTGGAGAGGCACTTTTGAAAGTCTCTCCCCATTACTTTTAGAGTACTTTTTTGAAGTTTACAGCATCCACTTCTGAACTTAAACTATGTACACTTGTTCTTCAACTGTTTAATTCCTAAAAGTGAGTAACTTACTCTCATATTAGGAACACTAGAATTTACTCTCCCTTTAACGTAGCTCCACTGGGAATTACATACACCATATAGTTACAGAGAAACCCATCTTCCAACCTTTCTGATTCATTCATATTTGATGGACAAGCTTCAAATTTTATTCTGTTCGAGCAAATCTATACATGAGTTGTATCTACTTTTGCAATGACAATATATCCATTTAGCATTGATGTTTGTTGGCTGCCTAACACGCATTCATAAAAATTACCTTAAAAGAACTCAAAAAGTTGAAAAGTCAAGCACTCAAAAGTTAGGAAATGCCAGAATTAAGGTTACCTGGGCAACCATAAAATTCAGTCTCCTTATGACAGGTTATGCTTAAGCATTATCATGTAGTCTTTAAATTACATGATCAAATAAATTTTTCCCCCCACAGGACCCCTGCTTTATTCAGTGCACAGAATGAACAGTGTTCAGTGAATGGTTAACTATTCAATATTTCTTGTTTTATCTTCGTATGTATGGCCTCGTGCATTATTACACACTATCCAAACCCTGCATTGAATACAGAAAGCCCTCATGGGCTTTTCTGTGGCGCTCTCATCACAGTATCTTGGTTATTTACAAACACTAATAAGTTTATCTTCACAACACCCCGCTGAGGTGAGGTGGTTGTATTACCGTCACCATTTTACACATGGAGAAGCAAAGTACAGAGATTAAAGCCAAAAACGTCATCTAATTTTTGGTTTCCACTTTGAGAAACCTACACCTAATTTTTCAGAATTCTTAGCATTTTATACTTTTTACTACATTCAGAGCACAGCTCCTATTAACTTTAGTTGTATTGTGAACAGTCAACACTTCTGCAAGTCAGATGGCAGATGTTTAAAGTTAGGCAGCGAAAAAATTTGGAATATACAGCAGCCACCTAGGAAGTTTTGTTTCAATTACTTGCACAGCATCTGTGGCAAAGGCAAGGCTAGAATCCAATTATCGAGGGCAGCATTCACTGTCTTTACCACATGACCATCCTTTCTCCTCTTGCCTCTTTCACTATACACCTTCCAACTCTTGCAAAAAAAAAATAATAAAGTAGGGGTCCCCTACAGACAATAGTCTCATTCATGGCACAACTCTGATTCATTCCCACTGTGCACTGAATGAGGCAGGAGTCCTGTGGGAGAAAAATAACGTGATCATCTAATTAAAACTGTAGCATAGTCTAAGTATCTTAAGGCAGAAACAGAATCACCCTGAGAAAATATTTACAGAGAAACAATCAGGATACATAAGGTCTCTCCTAAGACCTTAAAGGTTGGGGACACATTTCTAGCACCACATGTTATCTTCCCTGAAAGTCTCCACACCCTTTTTAAGATGACCTAAAATAATTCCAAAGAAATAAATTGCAAAAATTAAATTTTCAAAAAGCCTCCCATTTTTACATTGCACAATGGCCATTGCCGGAAGACAAGATACTGGGCTAGATGGACCTTTGGTCTGACCTACTATGAACATCCTTATGACCCAATCTTGAAAACTTTCACAGTAAGTAAATGGGACCATTCCCATGTGTAAATGTTTGCTGGACCACTGAGATCAGTTATTGCCTTTCCCTCAGTTGTTTCTAGAATCTTTAATAAAGTGGAGTGCACCTTGAAAAATGTTTTCTGATTTGATTAGAAATTATGCTTACTGACCTACAAAAGGAATTCTAATCAATAAAAATGTTTCAGTTTACTATTGGACTTTCAAACAAAGAAAGAATTTAACAAAATTAGAGGTGCAATATAAAGGTTAATTGGCTCAAAATATATTGTATCTCATCCTGCATCTAAAAACATAGCCCAGCCTCAAGGACCAAAGGAAAACTACATTTTATGAATTTCAACAGTCAGGGTAGATTTTTATTCATGTTTTCTAACGATTAATGCATTTCCCCTGTATGTCAGAAGCTATGAAAAATAACTAGGGCTATCAAGCGATGAAAAAAATGAATCTTGATTAATTGCACGATTAAAAAAATTAATCACAATTAATAGTGCAATTAATCACATGGTTAAACAATAATAGAATACCTTTTATTTAAATGTTTTTGGATGTTTTCTACATTTTCAAATATATTGATTTCAATTACAACACAGAACACGAAGTGTACAGTGCGCACTTTATTTTTTATTACAAATATTTGTGCTGTAAAAAACAAAAGAAATAGTATTTTTCAATTCATCTCATACAAGTACTGTAATGCAATCTTTTTATCATGAAAGCTGAACTTACAAATGTACAAAAAAACTGCATTCAAAAATAAAACAATGTAAAACTTTAGAGCCTACAAGTCCACTCAGTCCTACTCATTCAGCCAATCGCTCAGACAAACAAGTTTGTTTGCATTTGCAGGAAATAATGCTGCCTGTATCTTGTTTACAATGTCACCTGAATGTGAAAACAGGTGTTTGCATGGCACGGTTGTAGCCAGCGTCGCAAGATATTTACATGCCAAATGCGCTAAAGATTCATATGTCCTTTCATGCTTCAACCACCATTCCAGAGGACAGGCATCCATGCTGATGACAAGTTCTGCTTGATAACAAGCCAAAGCAGCTTGGACCAACATGTTCATTTTCATCATCTAAGATAGATGCCTCCAGCAGAAGGCTGATTTTCTTTTTTGGTGGTTTGGGTTCTGTAGTTTCCACATCGGAGCATTGCTCTTTTAAGATTTCTGAAAGCATGTTCCAAATCTCATCCCTTTCAGATTTTGGAAGGCATTTCAGATTCTTAAATCTTGGGTTGAGTGGTGTAGCTATGGAAATCTCACATTGGTACCTTCTTTGCATTTTGTCAAATCTGCACTGAAAGAGTTCTTAAAATGAACAACATGTGCTGGGTCATCATCCGAGACTCCATAACATGAAATATATGGCAGAATGCGGGAAAAACAGAGCAGGAGACATACTATTCTCCCCGAAGGAGTTCAGTCCAAAATGTAATTAACACATTATTTTTTTAACGAGAGTCATCAGCATGGAAGCATGTCCTCTGGAATGGTGGCCAAAGCATGAAGGGGCATATAAATGTTTAGCATATCTGGTACATAAATACCTTGCAATGCCGGCTACAAAAGTGCCATGCAAACACCTGTTCTCACTTTCAGGTGAGATTATAAATAAGAAACCAGCAGCATTATCTCCTGTAAATGTAAACAAATTTGTTTGTCTTAGCGATTGGCTGAACAAGAAGTAGGACTGAGTGGAATTGTAGACTTTAAAGTTTTGCATTATTTTGTTTTTGTTTATGTAACAAAATAAAAATCTACATTTGTAAGTTGCACTTTCCCAATAAAGACATTGCTTTACTTGTGTGAGGTGAATTGAAAAATATTATTTATTTTGTTTATCATATTACAGTGCAAATATTTGTAATAAAAGTAATATAAAGTGAAGACTGTACACCTTGTATTCCTTGTATTCTGTATTGTAATTGAAATCAATATATTTGAAAATGTAGAAAAACATCCAAAAATATTTAATAAATTTCAATTGGTATTCTATTGTTTAACAGTGCGATTAAAACTGCAATTAATCGCAATTAATTTTTTTAGTTAATTGTGTGAGTTAACTGCGATTAATTGACAGCCCTAAAAATAACATTGCACTATTGGCTCATTTAGGCCCCAGTTCTGCAATAAACTCTATTTGTGGGGATCCCTGTATAAGCATAGGCAATCAATAGATCGGGATCCTGATTTGCCATTATATTGGGGTCCTGATTTGCCATTAGGTCCTCCCCAGACTTGTTGCTTTTTAGGCATGAAGTTACTCAGTTAGCATTTGTACTGTTTTCTCTCTCCCTCCCTAATTATTGATGTTTTAATTTAACATTGCATGTGGTTGACTGTTCATCTTCACCAATAGCATGTTGCCCGCCTGAACTCTGAGTCCTTAATTGGCAATATCACAATTCCCAGTGACTGTTCATTTAACAGACATCTTGAAAGAAGCAGTAGATGGAAATGAACTCTTAGTAAATAAAAATACAGTTTTCATGGGAATGTTCTTGGTATCCATAACCAAGAAGCAGAAATCAGAACGCTGTTTGCTCAATTATTTCCCAAATAAAAAGTTTCCAAGAAGTATCAGTAAATCATTCAGTGTTTACCTGTATTCTATGTTGAGCTGAAAATATTTTCAACAAGTTGTCAGTTTTAAGCAGGGGGCAAAGGAATTACAATAATTGGCATGATTTTATACATGTGTGTATGTATAATTTTACACACACAGGATTTGAAAGCACAACATAAATACAAGAAATAACTTCAGAGCCAAAGTGCAACCTCTGTGATGGAAGACAGACAGATGGACAACTGACAGCACAAAGTGAGGGAAAGAACAGAAAAAGAAGAGATGGAAAATTTGTCCCCAAGGATACAAGAGCAAACCACTATTCGCTGACCATAGAAAAGGGCCAAGGTTTCTCTAGTGGTCCATGCAGAACAAACAGAACTTCAACCATAACAATTTTCTAATTTGTGAATTTGAAATAATGCTTAGCCAAACTTTGTGCTGTGATATCTACTCATGACAAGCTCTGTAAACACACCAAGTATTTTATGTCCTCCCCACTCAGTACACATTGCAGATGTAGCAAACCCTGCCAGAGCTTTAATACAAAATAATTTCATTTGCATCATACACTGTTTACTTGACAGAGGGCCTGGTTCTCATAAGAACTCCCACTGAGTCCTTTGGTGCTGTGAGCATTTAATATTTCTGGAGATCATGCCCAAAGTAAATTACACAATGAATACTTCTCCCTGACAACTTTCTGTATGTTTGTTAAGAAGTAAAAACCTAATCAATATTTGTTAATGGTATAAAAAGGACAGGAGATTTTTAAAAAATACCTAAAACCATAGGTGCTAGTACTAAGGGTGCTGCGGGGAAGCAGCACTCCCTGGCTTAAAGTGGTTTCCATTATATATAGATTTCAGAGTAGCAGCCGTGTTAGTCTGTATCCGCAAAAAGAACAGGAGTACTTGTGGCACCTTAGAGACTAACAAATTTATTAGAGCATAAACTTGCGTGGACTACAGCCCACTTCTTCGGATGCATCCAAAGAAGTGGCTGTAGTCCACGAAAGCTTATGCTCTAATAAATTTGTTAGTCTCTAAGGTGCCACAAGTACTCCTGTTTTATTATATATTGGGTTTACAGTTGCATTCAACTGCTTTCAGCACCCACACTATAAACATTTGTTCCTGCACCTGGGACTGAAACAGCACACATGCCAAAATGAGATGACAAACTGGAGGGAACTCACTTCTCCCTCTCACTGGAAGCAGCATTCAGTGGTACTGTACAGGTGTTTTGTCCGACGTGCCTGGCTGCTCGTTATGGATTTATGATCCGCTGCATATAAGGGTGGCCTCAGCAGCTTGGAGAGAAGGAATCCCCTCACTCAGGATTAATGTTAGGGCTTGGTCTCATTTTGTCCGGCTGAAGGGTTTTGCTGCGTGCCTGCAAATTTCATCCGTGCAAGATGCCTCAACGTGAGCCCAAGCCCCCCTCACCGCTGGGGTGGGGAGACCCCGCCATCCACACGCCCCTTTTCCCTTCCCCGCGCCTGGCAGGGCTCTACGTGGCCATCCGCCTCCCCGCCCCCACCTGCGGTCATTCCCACCCGGCATGGGGGGACAGGGGGACTGACCTGCACCTCGGTTTCCGGCGGCCACTCGGTGTTGATGAGCAGGTCGTAGAGGATGTTCTCCTCCTCTTCCCCACTGACATCGGCCTCCACCTCCTCCTCCCAGCTCCCCCAGGCAGCGGCCATGCTCAGCCCGGACCCGGATCGCTGCTACAGCCGCTACGGCGCCCGGCAGCGGACAAACCTGCGGGCGGGGGGAGGAAGAGAGAGGTGTTTAACCCTTTCCGCTCTGCTGCTGTCTGCGTAGAGCAAGTTGGGCTCGCCCAAAAGCCTTTTGCTCTGTAAGGAGATGGGGCCAAAATGCTTTCCAAAGGTCCCAGCATGTTTATGGAAGAGAGAGCATATTTATTTGAGTATTTAGGCCCCTACCTCCAATTTCATTGGGAGTTAGGGGTCTGAATCACCTTTCAGGAGCTTGGCCTCAGGCCCCAGTGTATCAGCAGGGCTTTGCTTAGGCACAGAGGTCTACCACCGCCATGGTCATGTTACAGGATCAGCACCCTAGAATGCAAAATCATTGGGACAGGTAGCAGCATTAATTTAGGAGCAAAACACAAAGAAGTTAATAAATTAAATGGCAATTTAAAAAAACAATTGTGTGTATAGTATTTTTCGATAATGAAGTCTTCTTAGGACAGAACGAAAATGAGCTCACACCTCACTGCTAATCTTATTTTCTATTTTAGCATGATTTTAATAACCTCTTTTTTTCATTTGTAGTTATCTGTGTGGTCTAGTTTTAGATACTGACAAAAGTGTGAAATTACAAGACCTAGCATTCTGTGCTGTTAGATAGCTTGTGTTAAACATTAAGGAAATAGTTCCATTTGAGAAGAAATTACTACTGATTAATCATTGTTTATTTTGCTGAATATTTTTTAGTTGAATTATGTTTAGCAAGGTAAAATGGTAACATCAGCAGTGTATCAGTCCGCTGCTCATAGTTTACAGGAACTATATGAAGTTCACAGTCAATTTCTCCTTCAGAGCTATAGGCTCCAATCTGTCAAGGAGCTCTGCAAGGGCTTCACATGGGCACTGCATCTTTTAAACAAATAATTGCATTAGTATCATATCTTATGATCCAAAAGCAAGGCAGAACATGATGATGATGATGAAGAAGATAGATTATATAGAAAATGAACTAACCACTGTAATGTACATGTTCAAAATAAGAGAAACCAGAAAATAATTAACATCATACAAACGAACTATATTAATCTGATCTGAATATAACTGCAAAAATATAGCAGAGATGAAACTGATGCCCCTTTGAACCTAGATTCCATGGCCTTTGGTTACTATTAAAAGACAACTCCCAAAAAGGACCCAAAATAATACCATTGATGACACAAATGAAATCTGGTATTAAGGTACTAATATACTTATTGCATTATTTCTAATATAATACTTCCTATCTCATATGTCATCAGCATAAGCCAGTAATAGTCAGTATGCCCCAAATGGTAACACACTTGGACAGAAGGCTCTGAACTCAATTCCTATGACAGGAATTAGTTTAGCCACTATTCATGATACAATGCAGTAGTAGGAGATGCTGCATTGTTACAGATGCTGTCCTTCGGATGAGATCTAAACCAAAGTGCCTTCTTCCTCTCTCTGAGGACAGTCCCAATGGAAGTTAAACATTCTGTGAATCAGTTTAACAACAGTAGGGAATTACTATGATGCTATGCTCTCTCTTCCATAAACTAACTTATAATGGGCCAAATTCACCACTAATGTAAACTGGTGAAGTGGAGTTACACTTGTTTTGTTCCCAGTCTGGCATTAATCTTATACTTACAGTGCCAAATCCAGAGGTTTTCACTCTTGTCAATAGGAGTTTGCTTGAATAATGACTGAGTAGAAACTGAGTACATTTGTGTAAAAGTTGAGTAAGGACTTCTTCAGTAATATGTTACTAAAAACATGTTAGAATTCCATATGTGTAAGTAAAGATACTTTCAAACAAGCATGCTGTTATAGAAGATTAAATAACTATGAAACCAGACTACACCAGTCCAGTTGTCTAGAGGTGACAATAATTGCATAATTTAAAGACAAAATACTCATTGTAAACAGATAGTTTGGGTTTAGGTTCAGGTAAAGAGTTCAGTTTCAGATTTGGGTTAGATGAGTAGTGTTACTAATTCTCTAAATTTTATTGCAATTCTCATTATATTTGGTATTTTTTCTTAAAACCCTAGCTCCCAGAATACTGTGATTATGTGAGAATCTTAGCTTTAATTTGAGTGATAAAAGTGTGATTCTAGCTCTCATGGTTATGGAAAAAAGTTTGAAAATTTGATCTGAATATATACTAAAAGATAAAAAACAAAGGGCAAATAAAAAGTGTGACAGATAATACAACTTCCTGCAATATCTTTGGAAGACCATATTATTTTATGTATGGTTTATGTATTATTTTGGGCTGCGATTGTATGTAACCCCTCCAGAGGTGAGATGTGACCGATGTGAGACCTGGGAGTTCAAAAGACTGTATTTAAAATATGCCAGACAAGTAGGGTGACCAGGTGTCCGTTTTTTGACCAGAATACCCGGTCAAAAAGGAACCCTGGCGGCTCCGGTCAGCACTGCAGAAGCTAGTCCCATACCTGTCCTGGGGCACCACACTGCACCCTGGAAGCAGCCAGCCAGTCCAGCTCCTAGGTGGGAGGGGAAAGAGGGCTCCATGCACTGCCAGATACCGGCTCCGCACTCCCATTGGCCGGGGGTAGGGGCGGTGCCTGCGGGTGAGAGCAGCGCGTGCCACAGAGCCTCTTTCCCTCGCTGCCAAGGAGCCAGACCTGCTGGCTACTTCTGGGCACAGCATGGAGCCAGGACAGGCAGGCAGCCTGCCTAGCCCCACTGTGCCGCTTACCGGGAGCCATTCGAGGTAAGGCCGCGCCCCAAGCCCAAGCCCTAACCCCTGCGCTCAGGGGGGTGTTTTTTCACACCCCTGAGCGAGAAAGTTGCAGCGCTGTAAAGTGCCAGTGTAGACAAGTCCATAGACTAATGAACTCATAACTAAGGGGGAAACCCAGTTGTGAGTTTTGAAGGACTAAAACTTACCAGAGCCCTAGGTTCGAGTTGGGTGACTACTAGTAAGCTTTATAGCATGCATGTAGATAGATTTTATTATTGTTTTAATGTGTTTTCTCTGTAAAATTTTTATCTTAAGAATAAATGTACTTGCTTAGAAGAATCTGTGTGGTAACTGATAACTACAGGCCATTGCCCTTATCAAGAAAGTGAAGTACAGGCATTTCCCTTTTTAGGCAGTCTGTTTTGTAGCAAATATCACAATGTACAGTCTCTGCCCAAGAGAGATGATGACTTGGAACACAGAGTGCAGTTACCCTGAAGTTGTGGCAAAAAGAACCAGTTTTTCAAATTAATAATTTCAGATTGGGAGTCTGACTCTTCAGTTTTGAACTCTTGGTGTGGGCAACACTGAGTCTGACTGACGGTTCAGAACTTGGGCTCAGTTTGGTTTATGGTCTCAGGCTTACCAGCCGATTTAAAATCCATGTCATGGTCTTGGTTTTGGATTAGGTACAGGGTTCATGATCAGGGTCAGTCTGGGCTAGTCAGGGTGAGGGTTCATAGTTCGGACTGGTCAGGGGCGGGTCATATCCAGCCCCAGTCCGGGTGAGGGATAGAGTCGGTCAGGGCAGGGTCGGGTCGGGGTCAGACAGGACAGGGTACTGGGTGAGGATCCGGCCCAGGAACTCAGCTTGAGGGTTGGTCGGTAGCCAGCGATCCGGATTACAACTCAAGCCACGGGCTCGCTCAGGGAGCGGCTCGGATTAGGCTCGGGGTTTGGGTCAGGGCTGGAGCCCCAGGTCACGGTTCAGGACAGACTCAGTTAGGTTGTTTGGGGACTCAGGGCGGACTCACTCGGCCCGGGTGATTTCCGCAGCCGGAACCAGTGCGGTCTGGCCGCGGAGCAGCCCGGAGGGATAAAGCGTGGGGACCGGCTCTACGCGCTCTAGGCAGCGGGCCGCTCACACCGCAGTCTGCGTGGCGCCGAGATGGCGGCTTTCTCCGGTATGTGGCACTGGGCGGCCAGGGGTTTCCCAGGCAGCGGGTGCGGCAGGGGCTGCTGCTTGGGGAGTGGGCCGGCGGGAGGCCGGCTCACCGAGCCCGCGCCGGGGAGGGGGCCGATAAGGAGCCGCAGACTCCCTTGTTACGTAGTCCCCAAGGGAGCCGGGCGTAGGTGTCGCTGTCCCCCGAGGAAGCAGGATCTGCTCTGGCTCAGGCCCGTCGCGCAGGGGCCTAGGGCAGCCCGCTTTCCTCGCCGCGCTGAGCGCGGGGGGCTGGTGTAGCTCACAGGCTGCTACCCCCGAGGAGGGGATGGGGACTTATGGGGGTAGCAGATTGTGATGAGGTAAGAAAAACAGTAAAGGTCGGTGTCAGGAACAGCTACCTGTAGGATATTGCTGCCCCTCGCTGCGCGTTACGCTACAGCGGCCCCTTGCCCTTGGGTTGAGGATGGCGAGTTTTCTTCACTCCCAGGAGTCATAAGGGCCTAGGCCAGGCTGGCTGCAGTTGGGTGTGATATTCCTTATATAATTTGACTTGTTACAAATTAGTGCTAATTAAATTAAGGGGGTAGCTTTTCACATAGCATAGAAGGGCTGTGAGTTTTTCAAGTAGGTGCTGACTATACGGTTATACCATGTAAATATTTGTCAGATATCTCTCCTCTCTCTTCTCCCCCCCACTTCAGTGTTCTGTAAACTGTTTCATGATAGCTGAATTCCACACGACAGTGGACTGTAGCTATTTTTTTATTTTATACTATTAGGTGTCAACTCCTGGCCTGAGCACCCTTCCAATACATTAAAAATACATAATTTCATGGAATTCTTAAAATGTGTTAATATTGACAGATGAAAATTATCAAGAAAAACAAAGTCCTATTCACAAGAAGACTTTTGATATTTGGTACTTTAGCTCTACTTCACTGCAGAGATTTACTATAGACTCCTTCAGAGCTCTCCTGTAATGCTAACTGTATCTTTGGACACCATGGAATAAATCAGAAATTCTTCTCCATATCATGAAGTTTTCATAACTTTAATCCAGGAATTAGACATAATGATCCAAAGACGAAGCTAAAATTTCATGGCTCTATGACAGGGCTGCCCAGAGGGGGGGGGGGGCAAGTGGGGCAATTTGCCCTGGGCCCCGCAGGGGCCCCCTGAGAGTTTTTTGGGGCCCCTGGAGCGGGGCCCTTCACTCGCTCGGGGGCCCTGGAAAACTCTCGCGGGGCCCGGGCCCTGGCGCTTCTTCCGCTCTGGGTCTTCGGCGGCGGGGGTTCCCGCCGCCGAAGACACCAGGCCCCCTGAGTCCTCTGGGCAGCCCTGCTCTATAATGTACTTTATGATGAGAGCAACAGACCTATGTTGCTTTTTACAGATTCGGACTAACACGGCTACCCCTCTGATACTTTATGATGAGAGTTTAGCTTGAAAAATCATTTCTATTTTGAGGGGGGGAACCTACTGTTGCTGTTGTGAAACCTCATTATTTGAACAGGAGTACTTGTGGCACCTTAGAGACTAACAAATTTATTAGAGCATAAGCTTTCGTGGACTACAGCCCACTTCTTCGGATGCATATAGAATGGAACATATATTGAGGAGATATATATACACACATACAGAGAGCATGAACAGGTGGTAGTTGTCTTACCAACTCTGAGAGGCCAATTAAGTAAGAGGGAAAAAAAACTTTTGAAGTGATAATCAAGCTAGCCCAGTACTATTCTGAAACCTCTCATTATTTGAGACTGTCACGTTGTTTATGTGGTCTTCAATTATAAATTTCAGATTAGGTATATCTCCATATATTAATTTTTTTATTATATAACTAGCTCATAGAGCTGGAAGGGACCCTGAAAGGTCATTGAGTCCAGCCCCCTGCCTTCACTAGCAGGTCTAAGTACTGATTTTTGCCCCAGATTCCTAAGTGGTCCCCTCAAGGACTGAACTTGTCACAACCCTGGGTTTAGCAGGCTCAAACCACTGAGCTATCCCTCCCCGTAGAACTAGATACAATCATTATAGTGCTTTGGTACAGCTAAGCATCGCCATTCCTTGCAAGGAGTTTGCACATCTTTCTTGAGTCTTGTAGTTTGCCTCAGAATTCTTTAAATCCCGCATCAAGCTTTGTGTTGAAGCAACTAACAGTCAGAAGTTTGAGCAGGCAACTTGAAAATATAGTTAGTATTTCAAATTGAGTGCATTTTATTTAACTGTTCAGGAAATTAGGGTCATTCCTTTTATTTTTCAAAAAGAAATGTAGACTATTTCTATTTTTTTTCTTAAATAGAAGTACCTTGGTTTAAAAGGACACTAGCAACTTAAACATAGCACTAAAATACAAAAGTGGCTTACTCAAATATCAGTGGTGCTGAGATGCAACAGTGATTAGAATAGTTTTAAAACTTGGTGTTGAGGGGAGGGAGGTTTTTTTTGGCTGCTTAAATGTCATGGGTCAAGACTGGCCTACTGTGAACCCCCAATTAGCCAAGCCACCTCCCTTCAGATAACTGTTTATGCCTCTGGTTCTTAGCCTTGGAAAGTTTGGGCACATTCCATGATTAGATAGATATAGAATTAAGCGCAGAGCACTTGCATGCAGAGAGGTGGGCCAGCAGCTGAAGAATCAGGTTGACAACATAATGCAATCAACTGGTTTGGTTAGATCTTTGCATCTCATTCACCTTATTGAACTGCATGAGATAAGGTAATGGAGTCCATCCATCAACTTATGAGTTTGCCCTGTTTGCTTATGCATAATTCATAACCACCAGACACAGAAGTTGGTGTATAGTCTGATAGTTTTCTTTTAAAAATCCTCTGTAGCAGAATTGGATGTGGGCAAAAACTTTTAATAAAGATTTATTTCACTCTGACCTATCAGCATTGGTAAACTCACTGCAACTCTGTTCCTGTCTTCATGCTGGAGTAATGAGAGTTTGGGACGTTGAAAGAAAACAGACCAAGCATTGTGTTGCAGAAATGTCGTTTTTTTTTTTTTCATTTTGGCAGTGTTACTGTAAATATACTTAAATGGAGCCTCTGTTGTTAGTTTACATTTAGTTGGACAAAGCCACTGTAGAGTGATGTGATATATGGTGTTTCCTATTTTATGGCTGAGCTCCCTTAAGTGGCAGTATTCCTAGCCTCTTCTGTCTTGGCACTTTTAGTGCTTGCTATAGGAGGAGTGAAGGTCTGAAGTCTAAAAACCTGAGTCCCCATATAATATGGTAGCTTTGCTCGTCAGAAAATAACTTGCATCTCTGTCATGGTCAGAGTTGAGATTTTGGAGCATAGAAAAATTCTACCCTCTGATATGCACATGTAGTTCATATTGATGTCAAGGTGGAGATACACTTGCACATCAAGGATAAAATTGGGCACTAAAAAAGGCGGGGCTAAAGAACTCTGAGTCCTGCCATCTTCACTTTACCTTGTCAGCCATAACAGAGGAAATGGACAAGTAACATTTCATGCAAAACATTTTGGTGCTAAAGAAGAGACGCTACTGTGTTGACAAAAATATAAACACTGTTTTTTTTTTGAACTGCATGAAGGGTTGGCATTTGACAATAATGCCATCAGACTTAGGATGAGAGATCTAATGCTTTTGTTTGTTTGTTTTCTGATAGAGATGGGTGTTATGCCAGAGATAGCTCAAGCTGTGGAGGAGATGGACTGGCTGTAAGTATGAGTGCTTAGATATCTGATAAGCAGGAGTTCTCCATCAAAATTTGGTCTGTCTCTCAGTGATGTGTAATTTAATTTCTGAAATATCCAGTCTCTCTCTTCACTTAACAGCAAAGATGCATGTTTTCCTTTTTATCCGATTCTTCAGTTGCATCTCTTGTATTCCTTTTATCACGAATGACTGAAAAATCTGATAAATGTAATTGCAGAGCTGATGTTAGCCAGGTTGAGGAAGTCAGCAGTAAGGTATTGATTGCAGCCAATGTTATGATGCCTTTTTCTCTGCAAAAAGCTCTTTCTCGCCTTACTTTCATTGTAATTGTGGTGAGCTTACTGAACCAGATAACTAGTATATCTTAATCACTGAAGTTAGTGGTTTTCAAACTGGGGTTTCAGGTGTTAGGCATCTTATTTGCTAGCTTGTCTCATCCTGCTGCCAATGAAGCTGAATGGTTGCATAATTGTGGCTTCTCCCTGTTTCTAGCTTCTAGTTCAGTTTTCTTTGAATACATTTCTGCTTGTATGGACAAAATTCATACATTGCAGGTTGAACACTTCATGACATTGACTGACTAAATTGGTTAATTTGACCTCCTTTTGCAATTATAATCTTCCCGTAACCTGATATGCAAGAGGACTGACACTTTACTCTGTCAGCTCTTGTGTTTTACGCTGAGGGTTTTGCAGTCTTCCCACAGATATTCAAGCTGAGTCTATCCCGTTAATTCTAGGAGGTGGAGATGTGCTTATGGTACGTATGTTAAACTGTTCAGTTTGCATAGAAATAAAATTAATGGTTTTACAGTTTTAAAATGTACAGTAGAGGGATTATTTAAATCTGGTAAGTAAGCACTGACAAACTAATTTGGAGCATATTTTGTGAAAGCTTAGTTACAGTATGCAATTAATCTTTATCAGAAAGTATAATCAAACAGTCCATTTACTCAAAAACTCACTTTTTTATGTTCTGTGGATTGTATTGCAACACAGTTATGTAAAATTGCATTTAATTTAGGGCTGTCACTTAATTGCAGTTAACTCAAGTGATCATGATTTTTTAATCAAGGTAATTTTTTACATTAATCAGTTTTAATCACACTGTTAATAGAATATCAATTTCAAGTAATATATTTAGATGTTTTTCTAGGTTATCAAATATATTGATTTAAATTACAACATGGAATACAAAGTGTTCAGTGCTCATTTTATATTTTTCATTACAAATATTTGCACTGTAAATAAGATGAAATTGTATTTTTAATTCACCTCATATGAGTACCGTAGTGCAGTCTCTTTATTGTGAAAGTGCAACTTACAAATGTACAATTATTATTTATTTTTTAACAAAACCTTAATGTAAAACTTTAGAGCCTACAAGTCCACTCAGTCTTACTTCTTGTTCAGCCAATAGCTAAGACAAACAAGTTTGTCTACATTTGTGAGATGCTACTGCTCGCTTCTTATTTGTTAGACATAATGATGCATTAGTTTACTAATGTTTTCAGAGCTCTTGCTCTGAAATGGTGAAACAAAAGCAATAATAATGGAGTCCTCCTTTATATGGTAGTTTGTATTGTCAAAGGAGCATGAAGAATATAGGATTTGTCCTATTTTAGAAATCTAAAGAGAAATAAAAAATTATAAAACTTAAAATGTATCCTCTCTTAATACACCACTATTTGGGGTATTTTTTTTTTCTTGGGCTCTTAATTTTTTTTGTAATTGGTTAAAATCAAGCTTTGAAGATGTTGCTTAAATTCACGCATCTCTAAAGAATTCAGAGTGCTTTAGTACTCAATTCATTCTGGACAACTAAATGAGACTATCTCACAAGTAGTGTTGTTCGTCCTGCTCATCTACACAGTCCCTCTTGGGTACCTTTAGTAATGTTACATTACACACATGTAGTGGCTTTCATTGTAAAGGACACCAGAGCACTTCACAAACTACATTCATGCAGTACAACAATATTGGAAAAACCGACCCTTGAGTAGTGAATGTCAGACAAGCTGAAAAATAGTACATTACAGTGGAAAGAGGAGCAATTAAACACTTGCAGTTGAGGGAATCTCTTCTTATGGAGTACTTATTTATCATGTGTTGGAAGTCTTCTAAAAAAGAAGGGCCTTTCCTCATAAGCAGATCAATAAATTAAAAATGAGTTAAATTATGTTAAAAACAAACTAGTCTGTAGCACCTATAATCACGGAAGAGCAGAAAGTCTGCTGGAAATGTTACTGTCTTGCTCTACCTTACATGGAAAGCATTAACCTATACTGATGTGTACTATAGAAAACTTTAAACTTATGCCTTCACTATTTATTTTAAGTGAATATGCTATAAATTTTAAAAAATTGGTATAGTTCTATTATGGAGCAATATTTAATGTAGCTTCTGAAAACCCTTTTTCCCCTCCTCTCTCCACCTTCTCCCTTCTCTCTTCCCCCCCCCAGGCTGCGGAAACTGGGAGTGGAAAGACTGGTGTAAGTAAACAAGCTTAATTTGAGTATGTAGATGAGAGATGAAAAGGCACCCTGGTTGCTCTGGTCAGCACCGCCAACTGGGCCGCTAAAAGTCCGGTCGGTGGTGCTGCAGCACCAAGGCAGGCTAGTCCCTACCTGTCCTGGCTGGCACCGCACTTTGCCCCGAAAACAGCCAGCAGGTCTGGCTCCTAGGCGGGGGGGCCCATGGGGCTCTCAAAGCTGCCACCCGGCCCTGAGCACTGGCTCTGCAATCCCAGGAACAATGCCTGCGGGCAAGAGCAGCACGTGGAGCCTCCTGCCCCCTCCCACCTCTGTGCCCCATAACTCCTCATCCCCAGCCCCACCCAGAGCCTTCACCCCCTCCTGCACTCCAACCCCCTGCCTCAACCTGCAGCCCCCTCCCACACTCCAAATCCCTTGGCCCAGGCCTGGAGCCCCCTCCCATACTCTGAACCTCTCATTTCTGGCCCCATCCTGGAGCCTGCACCCCCAGTAAAGCCCGCACCCCCTTCTGCACTCCAATCTCCTGCCCCAGCCCAATGAAAGTGAGTGAGGGTGTGGGGAGAGCGAGCCACTGAGGGAGGGGGAATGTAGTGGGCTGGAAGATAACATTTGGGGACTGGAAGATAACATTTGTCTTTTGTGCATAATTTATTTTTTGTGGCTTTTCTTTTGATACTGAAGAAATGCATCAAATGATCTCTGTATTTCTAGGCTTTCAGCATCCCAGTTATCCAGATTGTTTATGAAACACTTAAGGACCAGCAAGAAGGCAAAAAGGGGAAAACAACTATCAAAACTGGTGGGGCAGGTAAGTCCGTTCACTTAACTACATAATTCTTGTGGCATTTGAAATATTGGAACTGAATATATTTCATTCTATTTCTTGTTTTAGTTAAAGTACAGCTCTTTTTTAAAATTTAAAAAAAAAAGAAGTTTGGGCCTTTATTTAACTAAGTCCTATGTATAATATGTTCTACAAAATGTAGGGATAACTTTGGAGCTGTCACAATGTGTTTATGTTGCAACAGTTTTCAGTCTCCAATTACGATTTGAGCCCAGGTGCACTTGGGACAGTTCAAGTGCTTGGGGGGAAGAATGGTCCTGCTTGAGAACCAAACCACTTTAATGCATGTGGAAAGGACTTGTAGACCTAATTGCCATGGAATTTTGTTTTTAAACTTTTTTTTTAATGGCCAATTTAAACCTGCAAAATACAAGATCCTTTTTATTGTAGTATGTGCACAAACTCTTCACAAATAGCTTTGGGTGTCTGCAGAATGAAATGAGAAACTTGACTTGTTACAGCTGTCTCTCTGAAAGATACACTAGAATATAAATTTAAAATGACACTGACTGGAATATTTACTTTAGCCAATACGAGATACCTGAAAAGTGAATACTCAGCATATACAGCAACAGCATTCAAAATTCCTTGTTATGTTTTTAGAATATATTCTAAATGACACAAACCTCCTGGCTTTTTGTCATGGTTTTGAAGATCTAGGCCTAACAGTTAAAGAACTTATTCTCTGAACTCAAATGCAGTAAGACCATGTACCAAAATACCATCGACTTACATATTTATACCTTGTAGATTTTAATGCTAACTGTACTGACTGACCTTATTGGTGTGGGGTGGTTTTAATTTTTATTTATTTTAAATAGTGCTCAACAAATGGCAGATGAACCCATACGATAGAGGATCAGCTTTTGGTAAGTTGTCTTCTCAATGCTGTAAGAGTGAGTAACAAATACACCTCTACCTCGATATAACGCTGTCCTCAGGAGCCAAAAAATCTTACTGCATTATAGGTGAAACCGCGTTATATTGAACTTGCTTTGATCCACCGGCGTGTGCAGTCCTGCACCCCCCTCCCCCCGGGACCACTGCTTTACCGCGTTGTATCCGAATTCGTGTTATATCGGGTCGCATTATATCGAGGTAGCGGTGTATTATTAAATTGTAAAATGCAGTCTGTAAATAGAAGTATAAGCTGATTTTGAATGTAACTGGAAATAAAAGACCTAGGCCTGCATCTTTCACTAGAATCATAGAATATCAGGGTTGGAAGGGACCTCAGGAGGTCATCTAGTCTAACCCCCTGTTCAAAGCAGGAAATTCCCAACTAAATCATCCCAGCCAGGGCTTTGTCAAGCCTGACCTTAAAAACCTCTAAGGAAGGAGATTCCACCACCTCCCTAGGTAACCTAGAGTAAGTACTTTACTGATTTCAATGGACTGCTTAAGGGCTCCAGGGTTCCGACCAAAATCTGTAACTGCTGTTTGGTATCAGCTGCAGGACTTGGTTTTGGGATGGAGTGTGGCATGTTTCCGAGTATTGTATGGGTTATTTATTTCATTGTTACTCTAAATTTTACAAGTTAATTTGACTTTTAATATAGACTCCTTTATTCTCAAAAACAGATTTACAGAAAGAGCAGGTTGGCTATGGTCCATGGGAAGCATTCAAAATTACAATTCAATCTGAAGTGCTTCATTTTTAGACTCTCAAAAAAATGAAACAGTTAATATTGCTGTATTGGCCATGTATATTAAGGGGAAACTAATGAAGATACAATAGTTTGTGAAATGTGGACCAACAATACAATATTATCTTTCTAGTCATGGGGTGTTACTAATAAAATAAAAAAACCTTTTAAAAGTTCAGGCTGCCTGTCCTTGAGAGGGTGACTTTTTCCATGATGAGGGAAGACGTTAAATCTTCCTCTGAAATCAGGATGATGTAGATCCCTTCAGTATATCAATTTTATATAGTGATGGCTGAGAACTAATTTTTAATAAGGTAGTAAATTCATTATCAAGACCAAGGAGGCGGAGTTTAGCACAAAGGGCTTTAAGGCAGATGGTGCTTATGAAATGTGAGTAGAATGGTTGCCCACATTGGATTTACCATATGGCACTTCCAACGGATGAGTTATAAGTAGTGAACGTGATCCTTGGATGCATAAGCAGGTGGATGTCCCATAAAAATAGGGAGATGATATCGTCTCTGAACATGGTATTAGGGATATCATTACTGGAATACTGTGTCCCGTTCGGATTTTCACAGTTCAAAAAATGATGTTGGGGAAAAGCTGGCAAGGGTTCAGCAAAGAGAGATGAGAATTATTAGGGGGTTGGAATCATGCCTGTGGTGAGAAACTTTTTTTTTAATAGTTTTAGCCGAGAGAAGGTTAAGAGGAGATGTGATCAGTCAATAAGGTTTATAAGTACCTGATTTCTGATAGTATGTTTCTCTGTTTAATGTGGCAAAAAAACAAAGGCACAGCATAATGACTTGAAGTACTTGGAAGATTAATCTAGACACATTCAGACTAGAAATAAGGTGAAAAATTTTAACAGCAAGAGTAACTCACCATTGATACGACTTGCCTAGGAGTATGGTGGATTCTCCAGCATTTGAATCCTCTTAGTCAAGATTAGGGCCTGGTCTACACTAGAAAATTTAAGTTGGCTTAACTGTGTCATTCAGGGGTGTGAAAAATCCCCACTCCTGAGCAGCATAGCTAGACTGACCTATCCAAGTGTAAACAGCACAAGGTCGATGGAAGAATTCTTCCACCTCTGAGGGCGGTAGATTACTTACACCAACAAGCGAATCCCTCCTGTCGGCGTAGGTAGTCTCTATGCTGCAGCACAGCTGTGCTGCTGCAGTGCTTCTGTAGCATTTTAAGTGTAGTAGACATACCTTGGATATCTTTCGGTGGAGATTACTGGCTGAAGTTCACCTAGTCTGACCTTTGGCATAACAGGCCAGAGATCATAATTGTAACAGCAGAATGCACCGTCTATAAATTACTCTTGTTGAAAATTGAAGTGTCAAAACAGTGTTCAGATACAATCCTGGCCATAGCATTTCTCCACATGAGTTCTTCATAAAAGGCTGAATCAAGTTTCTGTCCATTTTAATAGTGGATTAGCAAAGTGAAGGAACTGCAGTGTTTGAACAATTTTTAAGCACTATGTATTTTTATAAAGCAGCATTAAAGTAGGATACAAACTTTTCAGTCTGACACTTGCCTTCCATACTGACGTTGTCAAATGTCAACTTGACCTAGGTTGAAATGGAGCGGAGTTTCGTGCTATGCTTGTTGCAGGGCAAACATTCGTGTCTTTGCGAAGTGAATATATAATTGTTGTTCTGTGTGCTAAGGATTGCATTGTCCGTGTAGCCATAAATAACACTGCCACGAGAGAATTCTTGCAGATAGAACCATGTTAACAAACATCATATGAGTTGTGATGAATTTCTGTTTGTTTGCTTAACAATTGTAATAGAGGATATGCTAAAACTGTCCAACCACTAACAGTTCTTGTACCACATACTTGGAGTTGTGTGCACTTTTGCTGTACCTCTTCACACCTGAAACATGTCTGTGAAGAGATGCTGGTTAAATGCCAGTTAATACAAAATATCATTGAACTATGATTGTCTTCCAAAGGATAGGAAGCGGGTCAAAATATAGTGGGGTTTTTTCTTTGGGTAGGAATAAAGAATAAATTAGATTCAAGTTGGGGCATACTTACTTTTCAGATCTATGGTCTCTCCTGTAGAGGAGAAGCATTTATGAAAGCTACTCTAAAATGTTTAAGTTCTCATTGTTTTGTCGTCTTCAGCAATTGGATCAGATGGTCTGTGTTGCCAAAGCAGAGAGGTAAAGGAATGGCATGGATGCAGAGCAACTAAAGGAGTGACTAAAGGTAGCTATAAAATGATTAAGTATGCATTTTGAAAACAATTTGAGTTTCTGAAACATGAATATCTTTGACTTTCTACCTTGTCGACTATCCTCCGTTTAAGTTGGTTGCATTCAGAATAGTCACTATGGATCTGGCTGTACACTGGCTCATAGTCTTACACAGATTGAAGACCTTAAGAAGAAATGTACTTTTGCATATTTAAGTTCAGTTTTACTAATATCTTACCAAAAAAATCCTCAGGCTTCCTCTTGAAGTAATGAAGCTGAACTGCTTTGATGAAACTGAAATTTAAATGTTGTATGTGGTGTGGTTTGTTTTAGGAAAATACTATTATGAAGTATCCTGTCATGACCAGGGCTTGTGCAGAATTGGGTGGTCCACTATGCAGGCTTCATTGGATTTGGGTGAGTTGTCTTCATAAAATAGAAAATTCTGAAGTTCAGCTGGTCTACAGGAGTTCGTGTCACAGAGGGCATATAATCTCCTGCTCTAGTCTTCCAGAGAACAAGTAGAGGGGACATCTGTGGGGATTGCATTGGAGGGAGAGCAAGCCCATGGATGTGCAGCTCTTTTCATCCAAACACTGCTAAGCATGCAGGAAGAGATCCCCCTGTAGAGGGGATACACTCTAATTTTCTGTTTTCATAGTTTTAAAATGTAGATGAGTAGAGACTGAAAAAGTCAGCATGCTATCTTAGAGATGGTGTTCGAGAGTGCACTAAGGCAATGAAAATTGTTTAAGAGCAAGTGTTGTTCCCTTGCATGATGGCAATCCAAACAGTTGAGTTTGAGATGGTAGTGAAAAAGGATCTGTGATCTGCAACCTGAACAGTAACAATGATATTGTTTAATTTTGAGTTTAGGCACTGACAAATTTGGCTTTGGCTATGGTGGAACTGGAAAGAAGTCACACAACAAACAGTTTGACAGTTATGGTGAGGTAAGTTTCAATCATTAAGTGGCTAGAAATAACATTTCTAGTAAATAACCGCATCTGTTTTAGAAATTAAAATATTTGTGTTACACATGGTACAGTATGTTTATATAATATAGATTGCTGCTTTAAAAACCAGGCATTGAATTAGCACAAATCTGGAATTTTTATGTTTATATTATTTACACAAACATATTGACCCAACACGCCCACGTCTTAAAACTTACAGCTATGTATAGAGTGAAGAAATAGTCTCATCTTCTGGACTTATTTCTGGAGCTTTTCTTTCCATTGTCGTCATTGGCCTCTATGCAACTGACCTGCTTATGGGTATTCACCACCACCACAATGAGGACCTTGTATTGCAGTAATTAAGGAATTTGTTTCACATTACCTTATTGCTTCACTTACTGCGCTCTTTTTGTCACACTATCCCAATACAATGAAGTCAGTCAGATCTAAACCTTTTACATCTTAGCTGTTCGGTTGACAATTGGATTTTTGTTTCCCCTTAAAACTGGTCTTTCCTCTTTCCTGTTTCTGTTCTAGTCTTTTTGAAATTGTAGTGAACTTCAGAAGCTTACATGCCTATCTGAATTCCTCTGACACAATTTATATGAAGCCAAGTAGCTCAGCAGAAACCCAATTTTAATAATTCTTTAATATTATTGGTAAACTGTCCAAAGCTTATGCATTGCAGCTTTTGCAACTGTTTTAAAAAAATATATACTTTCTGATTACTAAAATTGAACCCAAGGGTGATTGAAGAGGTGCTACATAAAATATTTTTGAAAGATGTTCAGTGCAATCTCTTGTTTGTACCTGTATAAATTGGTATGAACATAGGCTTGCATGTTTGTCATAAACTGAGATTGCTTGTCTAATAAATCCATATTTAGTGCACTTCCACTCAGACTTAAATCTAATCCAAAATATATTTTTGGTTTTATGAACAAACTAATTATGTAAAATCAAACTTTCTTGTAATGTTAAGATGCCAATTTTGTCTGTTCTAACACACTTATTTTCAGGACAAGTGTGCTGTTCAGAGAGGCTTGTTTGTTTGTTTAATCAAATTTAAATTTGATATCTGCTTTTGAAGCTGTTTGGGTCAGAAACTATGAAGATTAATAGAATCTGAGCACAATTTTTTTGTTTTTTTTTAAACAACGTAACTACTCTAAATCAGTTTGAGAACAGAACAATCTGTCTTCCATTGTAGGAATTCACTATGCATGATACAGTTGGATGCTATCTGGATATAGACAAAGGGCAAATCAAGTTCTCCAAAAATGGTAAATTTGCATTTTTATTTATTTATTTTTATTTATTTTTTCCTTTTTGACAATCTAACTGAACATTTCACCCTAATTGTGTTTTTTAAATGTATTATGTTCTCAGGGAAAGACCTTGGCATTGCATTTGAAATCCCACCACATATAAAGAGCCAAGCACTCTTTGCAGCCTGTGTTCTGAAGGTAACTTATGAATGTCACAAATTTTATTTATTTATTTATTTATATAATCACGTGAGAATTGTTCCAATCCAGTTTTAAATATCAAATATTGATCATATTCCATAACGACTATTTTTATAAAATCTTGTGCATTCTTGCCTCAGTTACTATCTCCCTCATTGGCCACCCTGCCCCTTGCATCTTTTCTATCCGCAATCTGCTGATGAAGTTGTTCTCTCGCAGAAATGAAGTACTGTGTAGAAGGGTTAGGGTTTGAACTTTCCTCAGATTCAGTAAACAAATTAGTGTAAGTTTGCATTTTGCAATTTTAAAGTTAAACATTTAATTGTCTCAGCACTACTGTCTTGTCCACCTACTCTATAACACAGTTCAGTAACTTAACAGTTAAAAGAATAGCCAGAAATGCTAGTGTATAATGTGGGTGAGAAAACTTTAAGAACCTTAACTCTTCGATTTAAATTCTCAACCCTAATGTTACAACAGTGCATTAGTGTAGCATTCTCGACTGATTTGATAAATGTTATAATAATTGAAAGCATTTATATGATGCCTGTCTAATGTATGAAGTCCCTTCAGTGGAACTTTCAGGACAGCCAAAGACTGAATCATATATTTAAATCTATTGATGCAATTTAAAAGGCAGTACTACCCAATGAGGCGGGCATGGTTAAAATATTGAAGTTCACAGGGGGTCTAAATCGTAGTTAAAATTGGAGACCTTGATTCAGAAAACCAATATCTTAAACACCCCACAAGTAAGAGCAGGAGGTAAACAAATGAATCCAAACTCTCCATCAGACAATTTTATGTTCAACTTTGTTTACAACTCACTTTTGGGGAGATGTGTTTTTAAAAAATAAAAAATCTGTACTATGTTACTATAAGCTTATGGCTGATTCCCACAGAAATCTTTTTATGGAAGTGTTGATAAAGACAATATATATCTAGAATCAATGTCTGAAATGTTTTGTGAAACTTATTTATTTCAGAATGCTGAATTGAAATTCAATTTTGGTGAAGAAGACTTTAAGTTTCCACCAAAGGATGGATTTATTGCTCTTTGCAAAGCTCCTGATGGACATGTTCTGAAATCGCAGCAGGCAGGTATGTTTTTGCAGGGATTAATATTAAAATTCCTCACGGATAGTCTGGAGACTAAGTGGGATTTTTCAGAAGGGCTTTGAATTGGCCTAATTGTGCCTATTAAAGACACTTGATGCTTGACCATTGACTTCAGTTGGAGCAGAATTAGGTTAACATGGAGCACTTTTTTTGCAAATCTCATCCTAAGTCTTAACTCTCTATATAGTCTAATACTTAATGTGAAGCTGCCATGTTTTAGCTATTTAGTCTATGCATATCCAATTCCTAACTATGGGAATTCAGCTTAATTATAAAAAGACACCCACTTCAGGAATTAGCAATTTTCCATTAAAGGATGACCAGTGAATGGTTCATGCTGTATCGGTAATATGAACATTTTGTCTTGGTCTGATTAGTTTTTGAGTGGGGAATTACACTTTTTTCAGTTCCAAATATACATCTGGAGGTGAAATCTGCTAGCTGCAAATGAGTAAAGTTGGCTATAGCAATGATTTTTTTTTTTTAATGTAGTAAATAACGCCTTTAAAAGCTGCATTCAAACTGAAAAGTCTGGAAAATTATTTCTAACAATGAATTTAAAGATGTGAAATTTAACTTTTCTCTCAACTGCAAATGTTTTCTTCTCTAGGAAATGCACAAGTGGCTCAAACAAAGAACCTTCCTAATGCTCCAAAAGCATTAATTGTGGAACCATCCAGAGAGTTAGCAGAACAAACTTTGAACAACGTAAAACAATTCAAAAAAAATGTTGATAATCCTAAATTAAGGTAACAGCTTTTCTAATGCTATCTGCAATCCAGGTAACATTCCAGTTACTTTTGGTCTGTATGGATGATGTCATAGGTTGTATAATTTCAGGGTCAGCCTTAAGATTCATGTGCCCCCAAGATGAAGCAGATGGAGACACGGACAGATTGTAGAGAGGAAATTTGGGGGATAGTTGCAGCATCAAGGCTAGATCATCAAACAGTTGATATTTGTTTAGGCCATCTCTACCTAATGTGGTGTGTGTTTGGGGGGTTTTACATTTGACAACCTGAGGTATGTCTAATGCTCCCTTAAGTTTGAAAAATGGAAGAAAGAAAACAAGTAATTACAGTATCATAGAAGTGTAGAGATAGAAAGGACCTCACGGTCAAGTCCAACTTTCTGCTCTGAAGAAGGACCAAGTATACCTAGAGACCATTGCTGAGAGGAGTGTTTTCAGCCTGTTTTTAAAAACTCCAATTATAAGAATTCCACAGCCTTTTAGGTAACCTGTTCCAATACTTAATTACCCATATAGTTTAGAAACTTTTCCTAGTACCTAGCCTAAATCTCTGATGTTGCAGATTAAACCCATTTATTTATTTTTCCTAATTTCAGTGGACCCTGACAATTCATTTTTGTTGATCTCCTCTGGACTCCCTTCAGTTTGTCCCTACCTCTCCTAAGGGGTGATGCTCTGAATTGGACACAGTGCTCCAGCTGAGGCCTCACTAGTGCCAAGTAGAGCAGGACAACTACCTCACATATGACACTCCTGCATGAATACAGCCCAGAATAAGAGACTTTTTCACAACTGCATCACATTGTTGACTCATTCAGTTTATCCATTAGCCTCCAGAACCTTTCCTAAAGTACCACCATCTAGCCAGTTTATTCCCCAGGTAGTAGTTGTGCTTTTGATTTCCGTCCCCCACCAAGTATAGTAGTTTGTACTTGTTGAATTCAGACCAGTTCCCCAGTTGTCAAGGTTGTTTTGAATTCTAATCCTGTCCTGCAAAGTTCTTGCAACCCCTCCCAGCTTGATGGCTTAAGCATATTTTATAAGCGGACTCTCCACTCCGTTATCCAAAACCTAAATCCACTAGGCCAGTAACCATGTCAGAGAAGGAAATTAGGTTGGTTTGGCATCATTTGTTTCCAGTAAATCCATGCTGACTATTCCTCCTAACCCATTATCATCTAGGTTCTTACAAAATGTTTAATAATTTGTTTTGGTATGTTTCCAGGTATTGAAGTTAGGCTGACTGGTCTATAATTCTTTGGGTCCTCTTTGTTCCCCTTCTTATAGCACCTATCTGTGTTTGCCCTTTTCTAGTTCTCTGTTTCAGCTAGTTCCTTAAGTATCATAGGATGAATTTCATCAGGTTCTGTCACCTTAAATGTAGATATAATTAACCTAAATGTTCTTTTGACCTTGTCTTTCCCTATTTTTACATGTGTTCCTTCCCCCTTGTTAATATTAATTATATAGAGTAACTAGCCACCATACTTCTTCTCACTGAAGCGAAATAGGCATTAAGTACCTCAGCCGTCTTAATGTTATCAATTATTAGTTCTTGTTTTGCTTTCTCAGGTTGTTATAGCACCATTATAAATGAACTAGTACAATAGACCTATGTTTCTTTTGCTTTAGTGTGATCAGAGCAAAGTCTCTTGGTTTGTATGTGGATGCTCATTATGGTGGTGTGGTTTTAAGTTTTTTTACCTACAAAATATTTTGATCAAATGAAACATTAGAAATCTCAAGACTACATTTAAAAAGAGGGAACTGAATTGTAGAGCTATAAGATATGATTAGTGTATGTATAGCTCACTGCATTCATAATGATGCATTTGTTTCCTAACTTCTGAGAACATAATTTAACATGCTATAAAAAGTTACATAGTGTACGTTTAATCTTGTACATATCTCCTTGAAAGGATAGGAAGATTTAATGCATTTTTCACTCTTGTAATTTCACACACACACACACACACACACACACACACACACACACACACACACACACACACACACACACACACACACACACACACACACACACACACACACACACACCACCACCTA